CTCCCCCCCCCCCCATTTCTGTATGTTAGTTTTATAGGCTGCATTGTACAGGAAGTGCTGCAGTTTCATTTACCAGCATCTGGCTGGAATGCTGGTGACCACACAATATTACGTGAAAGTTTTTATATTATATTAGTGCTAGTGATTATTGATAATAAAACTAAACAGCTGCAAAAACCTAGGGTTACATTTGTCTACAGAGAGCCTCCTAAGGAGAGAAATCATGAGTCATGGTTAACTTGAGAAAATAGTACAGTTTTAAAAGACCCAAAATGAAAGAAATGTCTTCTGACCTTTAGCACCACTGATAACAAGCCCAAGTTCTGCGCAGACAGAAACACAGACAACTTCATGGTCGTGACCTGTGAGGACAGCCCTTGGTGCAGGATAGTCACCTGCAAGGAAAGAGGAACAGTGAGTCCCTGCAGGCTGATAGCAGTGAAGAGCAACACCATTAAATCAAATGTTTGAAATAACAATCATGTTCGTTAAGGGCCTTTACTAGCTGTGTTTTACCATGAACATGAGCCAGTTACTTAACCTCTCCGCTGATTCCTCATATGTAAAATACCTACTACACAGGTTGCTTACATGACTAGATAATTTAACAAATACGATGTGCTTATATTATAAAGTAGTGATAATTACCCTTTTCCTGGTTATTGTTATAAAACTGATACCAAGATGCCAAGGCATTTACTGTTTAACAATCCTGTTTAATAATGCCAATATTCAGATGAGTTCAGCACTATTATTATCCCTATTTTATAGCCCAGAAACCCAAGCTTATAACTTGTTCAAGTTCATACAGCTAGCGAGGACTGAACCCAGAGCTATCTAATTTTAAAACCCATGCTTGTACCCCTTTAAAAATGTCCCAACAAAACAGGCTGAAGAGCTTTTTTTTTTTTTTTTTTAATCCTCACCAGAAGATATGTTTATTGATTTTAGAGAGAGAAGAAGGGGCAGAGAGAGAGAGAGAGAGAGACATTCATGTGATAGAGAAACATGAGAAACATTGAACTGGTTGCCTCCCATACATACAATCTAGTTATATGCCCTGACCAGGAATCGAACCTATGAACTTTAGATTTACAGGAACAGTACTCCAACTAACTGAGCCACACAGGCTAGGGTTGATTTTTGAGGAGAAAGGAAAGTAAGGAAGGAAAGAAGAGTTAGTCATCTTAATTTTCCTCTTGACAATAAAGTCAAACTTAACTAAAGAGTCCAGCTGAACTATATGCCATAAGCATTCTCACTGTTAGGTGCTTTCACAAACACTGAATGAATGCCTTCTAGGTGACAAGCATTCTTCCAAGCGGGCTAGGAGTGGGGAGTACAGAAGTATAAGGCATAACCTAGACTTGTTGAGAACACATCAAACAGCCATGGCCTTGCACAGGCTTACTCTCACCAGTGACACTCGTAGTGACAAGCATGAAGAACAACAAATGTATGTGCACAGAGTATAACAGGGACAAAAAATTCCACATACAAATGAAAAGAGAATCATAATATTTGATGAATTAACTACATGAAGATAGTGTGAGAAGGGTCAGCAAAGTTGAAAGGGCATCCTGCCCAACATTGTCTTATCAGAAAAACTAGAGAAGCCAGTTTTGAATGAAAGTGAAGGATCTCTACAGTCTTGGGATACAAAAGTGTGGAGGAAAAGAAAACAACAGAAAGTCAGAGAGGAAATCTGGAAAGTGAATGGGATATGGTGCTGACCTGGGAAGCGTTGTGAAGGTTCCTTTGGTAGAAGGGAAAAGAGAGCCAGTGTTGCAGTAAATGAGGACCTGAAAAACTCACTAAAGTTAAACTCCCCTGAAGGCAGTGTAATCAGCAAGAAGGACATGAAACACTTACAAGCAATACAATCAGATTCAACAAATATCAATGTTTTGTAAAACCCCATTATTTCATTAACACCCTACTTATTAATGCCTTTGTTGCCTATTTCTCTTTTAATTCAAAAAGGTTTTTAAAATTGATTTTAGAGAGAGGAAATGAGAGGGTGGGCGGAAGGAAAGGAAAGAGAGAGAGAGAGAGAGAGAGGGAGAGAGGGAGAGAAACATTGATTGGCTGCCTCCCACACATGCCCTGATTGGGAATCTAACCTTCCACCTTTCCGAGTATGGGACAATACTCCAACAAACTGAGCCACACTGGCCAGGGCTCTCTCTTTTAATTTTTAAACAGCTCTACCTATGACATTGGTTTATCCTGGTTGTATAGTTTAATTGATTCTACAATGTCATCTTAGCAAAAAGTATTACATATAAATATGCCTTTTTTGCATATATATAAATATCATTATTCATTTTAAATTGTCAGTATCATTTCCCATTACTTTTTCCCTTGGAAAGGCATGTTGTAACTTGGTCTTGTAACTGCAACTCTTCCAGAATTCTTGGTTTTTCTCAAGCTAGGGCCTATGTACCCTGGGATCTGTGGATATTTTCCAGAGGTGGAAAAGTTCTACAAAATATTTCAAATTTCAGATTTGCATTTTGATGATACTCTAAATTTTTTTAACCAGTTATATGGATAAAATTTCTCTTGGTTGTCAAAATGTATACCATAGCCATTTAAAATTGAAATCTAATTAATTAATTAGTTTTTCTCCAACTAGGGTTCACAGGGTCCAAGAACACATTTCTCAGAATCATTGTTAATGACAATTTTGTTCTGTTTAAAGGGGGTCAGTGTATTAGTCAAGTTTGAGAAACATTACTGTAAACTTACTTTTTTCTCCAAGTTCACAAGTTCTTTTCAAGTTGGCTGCTTCTACACAGCTATCTGATTTCCCTTTGTTTTTAGAATTAAACTTTTAAAAAATTTATTACATATTAAATATTTATGACTATGTATAAGATTAAGAGGAAATAAATTTTTTTGTACTCACCCCCTAGTTTAAGAAATATCTAACATTACCAGTAACTCTAGTGCCCCCTTTCTTATATCTTAGACTTAGAGAATATTATGCCTTCTGAAAAAGAATTCTGTATTTTTCTCTTCTGTTCATTCTGCTTCACCTGGCTGTTGAGTTCATGAACTTTTTTTCATAGAGCTTGAAAGTTCCTTGCATGCTGGCCTCACATTCTGGATGGGGCGGACTCCTGTCCCCACCCATCTTGTCTCTCAGAGAATTGTTCCTGCCTCTCAGCAAGGCATCCAACACTCTCCCCTCTGGTCTGCTAATATCTCCTCCTTCACACCCACCCATCTTCTGTGTCCCCAGAAATTGCTCACACTTTTATGTGAGTTTCTCAGCTCCATCAGCTTTGATTTTGCTTTTGACACAACTCTTATTTGGATGGAGTGTGTGCATGTGTGTGTGTGTGTGTGGTAAGGGGTGATTTGGCAGCCTATGTCAGTTGGTGATCTTTTCTAAATTTATGTATAGAGCTATAATATGTTGAAATATTGGCAGAGTATCATTTGTAATTGTCAGCAGTTCTGGATTTGTCTGAAGCATGTTTATATAATTTATAAAATTATGCTTCAAAGATGTCCCAAGTTCCCTGGTAAAACAAGGATTAAGTATTAAGATGTTATGTGAAATATTATCCTTAATTTTTCTAAATGATTAATTTTATCTCAGAGAGACTGATGAATGGAAAAACCTTGAAATTATATGTTTAATAAAATTTAAATACAGTAAAAGAGTTTCCCAAACTTTTCCTTATATGCTACAGAAAGAAAAAGCAATCTAGTTCTATTGCAAGGAATTAATAAAATGTATAAAAATCTTTAAATATTTCTTATGTATGTAATATATTTCCTATTAGAAAATACTTTTTCAAAGGCTAGCATCTGATTTAGAAAGTTTAAAATATTTTATTTTTCCTTAGAATTTCCCCAGATCCTTTGAATAAACTGTAGAACTTAGCTAATAGGGGACACGGTTTAGGGCTCTTGAAAGCATTGTTTCCCTCTTTAAACTAGAAAAAAGTAAATAATATGTTATTCAGAGGCTTTGGAGTTGGAAAACCTGCAGCAGGGGGAAAGCACGTTTCCTATTTTTCATTTCTTTGCCAGGGACAGATGTCATACACTCCAACAATCATTCAAAATCCTGGGAATATTCTGTCATTGTCACATCACAATTGATGGATGTGGCTGCAGGTTAAAGTGCAGGAGAAGGTGCAGGTGAGGCATCCCCTGTGGACCACAGCACCATCACACACATTCCCCCAGTCATTTCCTCAGCTGGAGCGTTCTCTGTGTGATAGAATTACTGTGAATTATAACGAACAAACACATCAATTTTGAGATTCCTTATGGGCAAGCATTTAGAAACTCCACTTATAAAAAGGCTTATCATAAACAGATTTCATCTCCTTTTTATCAAACATTATTTCAGTATTTTCAAAACAGATGATGAAAAAAGTGCAAAGTCATTGGATGCTGCCATTCACAGAGAAGAGACAAGAAGAGCTTTTTCAGTGAGGTAGTCCGTGGCTTTTAGAGAAATGATCAAAATAAAGATTACTCATGGTTCTAGTTTTAAACTTCATTTGTGGGGCTACTAATATGGTTTGGTCCTTCTGAATCAGAGCTAAGCAAATACAGCAGTTTCTAAGATCTATGATCCTCAGTACAGTTCTGCTGGAGTCAGAAGTCAAACCTCTTGATGCTATACGGTATTCAGATTTTACCTACAACCATTGTTAAGTTATTGCAGAATCATTGCCGAAAGTATTTTCATTCATGCTTATACCTACATAAAATAAGATAGATTTTGGACTTAAATCTCAGAATAAGAGAGTTAGTCAATGGGTGAAGAGTTTCATCACTACTCTGATTTCAAGATTTATTTTTAAAAATTATGTTAAACATTTTTCCTGGGATAGCTCAGGAAAGCTGTGTCAGTGAGAAGTCTCTTATCAAGATACTGTGTCCTCAGACACCTGCAGGATTACAGCTGAGGTCTGGCCCAAGTACCCAAAATGCCAGGGCTTACATTTTTCACAGGTCACAAGCTAACCCACATAAAAAACATTCCATAGGATGAAAAACATCCCATGATGTGGTTTCATTTCGTTACATATTCATAGAGTACTCAATGAAAAATAGAAGATAGAATCCTACTCATTCCTTGCTCCTCAGAGATGACACTGAGCACATTTTCCTCTGAGCACTATATTTGCAGGGCAGACCTCTTCCCTTGAAGTCCTGAACATGGATCTAGGGCACAGTACATTACTCTCCTATCATCACCTTGCCAAAATAATCAATATTGTAATCCCCCTACCTTCCCCAAGGAAGTAGGTTTCTGCATTATGCCCAGAGAGCCTTCCTCCAACCCTGTCTGTGATCTGAAGTTCTCTGATCATGAGAACAGATTGGTCACTCTTCTGTTTTTTATCTTGCTTCTGACCCAGGC